GAGGGCACTTGTGGGGATGAGCACTGGGTGTTATATGGAAACCAACTTGACAATAAACTATTTGTAAGTAAAAGAAAAAGAAAAAACTAAATGTGATTAACAACTGACTTGTATAGGAAATTTAATACATGAGAATAGAGGTGAAGAAAGTATGGAAAAAAGAACTAATAAAAAATAAAACTTATACTGACTCCTCATCTTTGCCAAGATCAAAAAAAATAATAAAGTGGTGTGCAGAGAGAGACCAGTGGGAGAGTATTGCTTGGTCTAAAGCAATGAAAATAGAACTAGATGTGCTTGCAAGATATCTAGAAGATTAAATTGAAAGAACTTATGGATTGCTTGGGTGTAATGAGGTAAAGAAGCAGGAGATGCCAGAAAATGCTAAAAAGAAAAAAAGACTTCTGGTTTCCTGGTGTTATGGTTTCATTAGCTAGGCAGATGGTTGTTGCTTCATTGAGATAATTTATCTCTGAAAGAACTGGCTGCTTTGTGGAGGAGCAGTGATGGCCATGATGGAGGTCAGAAGCTTGGTTTGGAACCTGCTGACTTGAATTTTCCCTCAAACATCCAAATGACAATGTTGATAGGCACTTTGGGTACTTCTCTGGAGCTCAGAGCTCTCAGAGCTAGGCCAAAGGAATAAACTTAAGTGTTATCAGAATTTAGGTGGTTAATTGAATGTATGTATGTGGATGAGACTGCCTGGAGAGAGAAGTACATCTGGAAAGAAAGGTACCTTGGAAACAGATTTGAGTCATTCTAATATTTGTCAGCCGGAGGAGCAGAAGAGATTGAGAAGCCTTGGGCAGGAAAGCCATCAGTGTCATGTCTTGGCAGCCAAATGAAGAGGGTTTCAGGAAAGGAGAGGTCAGCTGTGTTGCAGATGAGGATCAGGTTCTTGCTATAGAAGTATAGCAGTATAATACAATCCAGTTGCTTCCTTTATAGCTCTATGAAAATAGTGAAGACCACTCCATCTAAAAACAAAAGGGGCAATAGATAGAAGGCTACATTGGCCAAGACTTACAGATCCAATGGGAAGGCTTAAGAACAGTTAGAAACCAGTTTCATTCTATGGTGGGAGTGGAATGAATGAACTGAAACCATTTCCAGACTTTTAATTCTCTGCTTGACAATTTATAGCCAAGGAGAGAGTGTCCAAAAGGCCCACCATAGGACATGTACCCTTATCTTGGCCAGAGTGGGCATGGATCTAATTAATTGTCCCACCAGATGATATTCCTAATGGGGAGAGGTAGCTCTCCAAAAAGGTAATCCGGTAACAATACCAAAAGGAGGTATAGGTAGATGGTGGGGAATCGTAATCCAAGAGTGCTTAGAACATCTTTATTTTGAGCATTTCTTCAGTTTGGGAAACATCTCACTAATCAGATGAAGAATGGAAAATTGGAAAAAGAGGTTGTTCAATAAGTCAGGTTTCAGATTGGCGAGGGAACAAGCAAGAAAGGATGGGGAACTAGATCTCAGTGTAAGGGAGGCCTCTGCCTGCATGAGTCCTCTGCCCTTCTTAGGCCTGCTGTCTTTAGGAGAGAAGACATTTCTTACTGAGTTTCTTGAGTCAGGCATGGCAGATGTTTCTTCTCTTGGTGTTTTCTCATTTGTGAATGAATTATTTGATAAAGCTTCATTATAGCCTGATATCTTAGGAAAGTTTTACAGTTCCAAGAAGTTACATTCTATTATCTGGGCAATATTTTCCGTTTAATTTGGGGTATACATAAAAATAATCACTATGATTTGGTTGGCACATAAAATCCATCCCTATTATATCTATCAATAAAAAAATAGTTATATGAACCTGTTAGGATGACCTTTATTCTTCACTGCCAGACTGTCAGCTTATTTTCCACTTATATTTTATTGTGAACAGTTATGCTGAGTCATAGTTATCATCCTAATCTCCCAACACTGTTCATGTGCTTATCATGAGGTCCCAGTAAATGACATTATACTCTCCTCTAGTCTTAATTAACTGATCTTTAGTTATTTAAGCTAGATCAGACATGCTTATAAACCTCCTTAAGCCCCCAAGTTATTTTAGATTGTGTAACCATTCTTATTCACAAAACTAATAATCTTCAACATTTGAGTACAAAAGGGACCTGTAGTTTTGAAAAGAAGATTTTTGTCGTATTTTAGAGTTGCCTAAGTGTTTGACATGATTTTTTGTGTCATAAAATTTGTGTCTTTGGAATTCTCAAGAAATAAATAACTTTTTGCATTTAGTCTACAGCAGTAATGGAGAAGTTTCAGCAAGTTTATTAGAACTGTATATGAAACACAAAGAAATCCTAAGTGAAGGGACTGCAGTGATTTTCTTGATGAAAATGAACATCTGAGAATTTTTTCTTTGTTTGGTTTTCAACTTTGCTTTAAGTCAGTTATATTTGTAAGTATAGTAATATGTTGCATTGAATACTCACAATAACAAGCTACCTTTATATTAGAAAAAGCAAGAATTTTATATTAAAATAGCAAGAAAACCATTTTTTCATTTTTGTTTAATGAATAAATCCATGATAGTAAACAGTGGTTATGTTAGTTTTATAACACTAACTAATAAATCATTCCCTTAACAGATCTTCTTAGAGTTTCTTTATGACTTTTTGAAAGATAATGCAGATTTCTTTACTTACAATTGGTTTTACTTAAAATTGGCATTTGGTTGTCAAAGTTGAAAAACCATGTGACATGATGGGATATATGCAGGAGCAGTACTTTTTTATGTTTTGAAAAAACAAAAATATGACCTGGTTCAATTTCCAACTTTCTACTTACTAATATGTTGCTTTGGGCAGATTACTTTACATCTCTGAGCTTTAGTTTTCTTATCTGTAAACCAGAGTCTTAGTGCTTGTTCTTCATGGATAGTATGGAAATTAGATAGATAGCAGAATTACCAGAAAAGTACCTTGCTGGTAGCAGCTATTCAACAAATGTTAGGTCTTTTCTCTTTGCCAGGTAGATTTATTTTCCTCCTAAGCAACTCAAGTGCTTATGTATAAACAGATAATAAGAATTTTTTAAAACTCATTTGGTATGAATTCCAAATATTATTTAAATCAAGTTTATCATTAAAGAATATCAATCCAGTGTTGGGCTGGTGAAATAGAGTGAGGTTTCTGACAGTGGTGAAAGTAGCCTGATAGATTTAGAGGCTTCTTTAAAATAAGACCAAAACAAACACAGAAAAACAAAAAGCCTGGTAAAAAGTAAAATATCTCCTTGAGATCTGGGGCATTTATGTGGTTATCTAGAGCAGTTTGTACATTTTGCTTTAAAAGACAGTGCTTAGGATCTGTTCCTCCTCAGAACACCTGCTATGCATACCACACATAATCAGCCATAATAACTGTTATGCAACATTTCTTACTCTATTTCTTCATGAACTTCTAGAATTCTATACTTAGAAGATTTATTTTTCCAGTTACCACATTTAAGATTGTAAAATTCCTTAATTTATCACATTTTATATGTATTTAGATGTAAAATGTTTTTGTAAGCAGTAGAAATTTTTAACTGCAACACAGCTATAAGTTACATTTGTGTTCCCTGTTAAATCTTTAGGATAGTCTAATAGTGAGCTGAAATGGAAGGACTTGGCATTTCTGACATATAAGAAGGTCTGTTGTACATCTGAAATGCTATAAGAAAGGGCAGCTGGGCATAGTGTTCCAGGACAGTCCTTGCTCTGCTTGGTTAAATCTGGTTCTGTTTTCTGGCAATTTCTGTCATTAATTGAACATTTATGAAGAGACTGAAATTTCTAGAGAGCTTTGCTGTATAGTCAGGTTACAAAGATAATGATCTATTAGAAGAGAGAGGCAGATAGGATATAAATGCCCAGGAAAAGGTACAGACAAAGTGCCATGAGAGTGCTTCAAAGGCATAGTTAGTTCCAATGGGAGAGACTAGGAAAGGCTTCACAGAGGATGTTGCATTTGAATTTGACCTTGAGGAGTAGAAGATTAGCTAGAGAATAAGGATTGAGAGATGGGCAATAACACTGGAAACACAGGAGATACATAAACTAAAGCATGAAATTTGTGGTGTGTTTTAGGAACAATAATAGGTTGTTATGACTGTAACTTTAGGGGGATTGGATTTGTCTGGTAAGAGATGAATCTGGAGGGGTGCCTGGGTGGCTCCATTGGTTAAGCATCCAACTCTTGATTTCAGCTCAGGTCATGATCTCACAAGCCCTTCTCTGGCTCTGTGCTGACAACCCTGCTTGAGATTCTCTCTCCCCTTTCCCCCATCTCTCTCTACTGTCTCTCTCTCAAAATAAAATAAACATTTTTAAAAAAGAGATGAAATTGGAAAGGAAGAATTAGGCCAGATTTGAAGGTTTTTGAGTGCTAGTAAATGAGGTGGGACCTTATTCTGTAGATAACATAACTAATGCAATGGAAAAAAAGATGAGATCTCTGGGACTTTTTGGGGAATCTTAGGAGTGGCAAGAAAGAAGAAAGTGAAGGAAAGAGGAACTAAAAGCTCAGAAATCAGTTATATTATTGCAATAGTGAAGGCAGAAAATCACTAAGATTGAACTGGGCTATACCAGGATATCTATAAAAATCAGAAGATTAGAGTAAAATGATGTCAGGATCACAGACTGAACTCCCAGATCTTGGTGATCAAATAAGGTACGGGAAGAGTCAAGGATGACTTCAAGATTTCAAGGTTTCCAGACACAGTGATGCCAGTTAACAAAGACTGGAAGAGGAATTCATTTGGGGGTAAAATGGACTGAAGGACTTGATAAAACAGAGCTTTCAGAAGTCCAGTACTCTATTAGCTGTAGCACCAGTGGCTTTTTATGTCTCATGCTATAGGAAATGCCATGTTTTGGGTTGCTCAGTCTAAGAGGGTATGGGAATATGTTTTGTAGTTACAAGGCTTAACCCGAGATGTTTGACTGTTTGCAAGTTTTCTACATCGTTTTTTAACATGAGAGTACCAAAATAACTTTTTAGTCTTCAAGAGACCTATGAAGCCAAAAGACATGAATTTTATGGTGAACGTCAGAGGAAGGAAGAAGAAATGAAGCAGATGTTTGTGCAGCGAGTAAAGGAGAAAGAAGCCATATTGAAAGAAGCTGAAAGAGAGGCAAGTACACTGTTTTGATGTGTGATCTGTTTTTTAGGCATCCTGTTTGAGAGATTTCTCTCGAATTTAACCGAGATGCTTTTGGAAAGTGCTTATTGTTCTTTAATAAGTAGCTAATTTAACACATAGTCTTTGGATACAGACTTTAAAAAATCTGAAATCAAATAAGAATTTGGCCTTTTTGAGCAAATGGTCTTCCATTAGAAGTGGTCCTCCAAGGATTGTAATGGACTAGGTCACTAAGAGGTGTTTTAAGCACCTTAACTTTGTTATTTATTTATTTATTTGTTTATTTAATTATATACAGTGCAATTATTGGCTTAGGAGTAGATTTTAGTGATTCATCACTTAAATACAACACCCAGTGCTCATCAAAACAAGTGCCCTCCTTACTACTCATCATTCATCTAGCCCATCTCCCACTCACCTCTGTCAACCCTCAGTTTTTTCTCTATCATTAGGAGTCTCTTGTGGTTTGTTTCTTCTCTTTTTCTTATCCTTCCTTCCCATATATTCATCTGTTTTGCTTCTTAAATTACACTTATGAGTGAAATCATATGGTGTAGTATATGTCTTTCTCTTGACTTATTTCGCTGCTTAATATGATACATTCTAGCTCCATCCACATTGTTGCAAATGGCAAGATTTCATTCTTTTTGATGACTCATTCTTTGTGTGTGTGTGTGTGTGTGTATGTGTGTGTGCGTGTATATACATCACAACTTCTTTATCCATTCATTAGTCGATGGACATTTGGGCTCTCTCCATAGTTTGGCTGTTGTTGATAGGACTGCTATAAACATTCACATGCATGTACCCCTTTGAATCAGTATTTTTGGATCCTTTAGGTAAATACCTAATAGTGCAATTATGGTCTTCGACAGAACAGGAAAGAATATCCAATGGAATAAATACCTTAACTTTGAACCAGAAATGTTTTAGCTATGGCTTAATAAAGTTTTTCCTGAAAGTTCTTGAGAGCTGTTGGGGTTGATGCTGTGAAATGGGTAACTATGAAAACAAGTAACTCTTCTGAGTTTGAACTCAGGCTTTCCAGACCAGTCTGGTGGTCAGATCACTTTTAGATAGCCTTGGTGCACACGTTCACATGCACACACAAACATTGCAGTTAATATCCATAATTTTGCTTGCTTCTAGTTCTTCAAGCAACAATTTTAGTTTTGAGTTTAACTATTTTCTATAGACCTAACCGCAATGACTACTTCTAAGTAAATGGCCACATTCAAGATGAGGGTCAAAAAGGATGAGCTCATAAAGGAATTTCTAAGACAGAAAAGTTAATACAAGTGAACTTGATAACACAAGAGTTTCTGAAGAATTATTTGTAAAGTAATTTTACAAATTTATTTTTTCAAGTATACTTGTAGTCCTTGTTATTTAAATGAACTGTATAGTAAGTAGTTTTATAAAATTAATAGTTTAATATATCTTATTTATAATTTGAATTTGAATATTTTATTTTGAAAAAGTTCAAACAACAGGAAAGTAAAAGTAAAAGGTACCACCTATGTCTCTCCCCACACCTAGATTTATTAACAGGTGTTTTGCCACCTTTATTTTATATATGTGTGTGTATGCATCTGGGGGAGAGGGTGTCCGTTTTTCTCTGGCCATCTGAGAGCTGGTTGTAGACGTTATGACACTTTATCCCTAGGCACTTCAATGGGCATCTCTGAAGTTAGGCACATTTTCTTCCATAACCATTGTACTAGTATTATACCTAAGAAAATTAGTGGGAATGCCATAATCTCATCTGATCTCTAATCCTCAGTCACATGTCCCACTTGTCCCAAGATGACCTTTTATTGTTTTTTTTTTTTTACATTTGTTTAGTGATTAAAAAAATTTTTTTTAATGTTTTATTTATTTCTGAGAGAGAGAGAGAGAGACAGTGTAAGCAGGGGAGGGTCAGAGAGAGAGGGAAACACAGAATCCGAAGCAGGCTCCAGGCTCTGAGCTAGTTGTCAGCACAGAGCCCGACGCAGGGCTCGAACCCATGAACCGTGAGATCATGACCTGAGCCGAAGTCGGATGCTTAACTGACTGAGCCACACAGGCGCCCCTGTTTAGTGATTTTTAGTTTTTATTTTTGAACTGGAATTCAGTTGTAGGTCTCATATCACATTCGGGTGTTCTGTTTGTTTAGTCTCTTTTACTCAAAAATAGTTCCCTAGTTTTGAGTTATTTTTAAGTATAAAATTTGAGGAAAGAGTTGTAATGAGTAGGAAATGAGGATGCTGATTTTTCTTTCATTAGTAGATTCATCATTAAGACAGTAGTAGAGTAAAAACTAAGTTTATTTCTCATGTATCATGATTCTTAGTTTTTCTAGTGAGGAGAAAAGATGTAGCAGTGGTTTCTAGTTGAGTTGCTGCTTCTTTTTTTTTTTTTTTCCCTGAGAGAGAGAGCATGAGTGGTAGAGGGAGAGAGTGACATGGTGCTCAATCTCACAACCCCTGAGATCATGACCTAAGCCAATATCAAGAGTTGCATGCTTAGCAGACTGAGCCACCCAGACTCCCCTGTAGTTGAGTTTAATTTTTAAAACCCTATACAAGAACATTTTGATAAATGTGCATTATTTAAAAGGAAATTGAAAACTCAGGGTGACCACATGGTTGAAAGAAAAAAAGAAAGACTTTGTCAGTATATCCTTTAGAGACTTTTATTTTTAATTTATTTTTAAATGTTTTTAATGTTTGTTTATTTTTGAGAGAGAGGGAGAGCATGAGCGGGGGAGGCAGAGAGAGGGATTCACAGAATCTGAAGCAGGCTCTAGGCTCTGAGCTGTCAGCACAGAACCCAACACGGGTTTCAAACTCACAAATCACGAGATCATGATAACCTGAACCGAAGTTGGACACTTAACCAACTGAGCCATCTAGGCACCCCCTAAATTTTTAATTATATAGCATTATAGGCAGTAGATTCCATGCCTCTCTTATTAATATTACAAGGTACTTCATGACCAGTTTTTATACTGTAAAGCCAGGTATCATTAATATTTTAGAGTCAGGATCAGAAAAATAGACCTTCCCTGCCTTTGATAACTTCTCACCAATGCCCTTAAGACAGTATCACCAATATGGTATACTGCAATATCTTTTGTAAACACTACTTCTGAGTATTTGAAATATGTTTGAATTAAATAGTGGAACCATAAGTGAGTGCCTTTGTATATAGAAGAGACTGCTGCTGTCAGAAGTAAATTCACATTTACTTCACATTATGTGAATAATAATCGTACCTATCTCTGACCCCCTTTTTAAAGCATTTTTCTCCTTAAAGTATTTCTGTAATTTTTAGTCAACTTCATGAATGATCTATGAAGTACTCTATAACCTTTGAATATATTTTACTATGCATATAGAGTATGCAGCCTACATTTAAGTAATCAGAGATGTCTTTATACACATAATCTAAATCCACTCCTGTATCCTGTCTTTCCAGGCTTTATTCACCTCCATTCCCACATTTATAAGAGATACACACATACTCAGAGAATTGTGACTCTATTTATACCATTGGTTTGAATGACAACTAGATGAACCCCACCTTTTAAATGCACATGCACATATATACTTATATAATTTTTGTAAAAGCAGGAACTATTTAAATATGCAAATACTAAGGAACTGATGCTTGTCTGAAATGCCATCCTCAGGAATAGAAGCATTTTAGGGAAGAAGAGTCTTACTTAATCTGTTTCAATCCTGTTCTGTCTCCTTTTAAATACATCTCCTGTCAGGGTTTACTGGAGCACAAGACAACCTCTTCCATATTTGGAATAGTTAATTTTTATTAGGATGGAGTTTAGCTCTTCAGTTTCTACTCTCAACTTCTGATTTTTAGGAAACCATTTTTTCAATTCTTCTATGCCATCTTTTCTAGAAACCAAGTCCTACTTTTTTGTATGAATGCTACCAGAACTGAAAATACTAAAGTTTATCTAACTAGACTAGGGAATTCAAAAAGTTACCTTTTTTGATCTAGATTTTTGATGCTGTGCTTGTGTTCTTGGCAGGCAAGGCACATGGCTAATTGATATGGGATCTGCTGAAGTCCCTAGATTCTTTTTTCTAGATAAACAAACCAGGGAAATCTCATGTTATAATGTTATAAACTTTTACAAACTCATTTTAATGGTTGCATTGAGTGTATTTAGTACAAATTTATTTTTTGACTTAGACATGGGCTATTTTTTCCCATTATGCTATAAACTCAACTACAGTTAGTATTTTTATGAATAAAACTTACTAATTTAGGATTTCTTGATTTAACTTAGATTTCAAGAAGGTAAATGATTGTGGGAAAATGTAATAGATTTTTAAGGTTCTTGATTTAAGTTGACAATTGACTTTCCAAGCAGGTTTACCAATAGAACTTTTAAAAGTTTCACTACATTTGGTAACTTGATTTGGAAAATAACTTGCCTTTGTAATTTATGTCCCTCATTTTTATTGAGCATGGATTTTAGAGAGTTTATTTGAAGAGACTCTGCAGAGAAATATATAGAGCAAGAAAATAAAAACTCTAAGAAAAGGTCAAGTGTTTTAAAAACATGGGAATCTACTCCCGAAGTCAAGAACACACTGTATACACTCTATGTTAGCTAGCCTGACAATAAATTATGTTTTAAAAAATGAAAACATAAAATTAAAAACAACAGGTTTCTACATGAGACTATATATATTTTATTACGTTTTTTTTTTTTTTTTTGTTCATGCATTTTTTGCATGGGAACTCATTTAAAATTAAAGTTACCAAGGCAGTTCCGTATGTACATTTTTACTTAAAGCATGAACTTTTGAGACATAAGGAAAACTTGTAGATTGCTGTGTAGGTTAGTTTTAAAAATTGTTGCTATGCCGGAGAACATTCCTTTGCATGTGCTGCCACACTGTTGTTGTTGATGGGAACTGCACCTTTCTTTCACAGCTACAGGCTAAATTTGAGCACCTTAAAAGAGTTCACCAAGAAGAGAGAATGAAGCTTGAAGAGAAGAGAAGACTCTTGGAAGAAGAAATAATCGCTTTCTCAAAAAAGAAAGCTACCTCAGAGATATACCAGAACCAGTCCTACATGGCATCAGGCAGCAACCTGAAGAAGGACAAGGACCGTAAGAAGTAAGCCATCCCCACCCCCCCAGCTCTAGTAGCCCCATTCATCCATTACTTTCTTTTTCATTGCCCTATTTGATCTTCATTGCGCTTATTAAAGTCTGTTTCTTTATTCTTTGTCAACTTCTTGTGACTAAAATGTCAGCTCCTTGAGAGCAGAGGCCTGTCCCTTTTCTTCACTGTTGTTTCTGCAACAACTAGAGGAGCTCCTGGCACATGTAAATATTTGCCAAAATGAGCGAATGAATGGATGAACAAAATGCATCATAACATAGAAAGGGTCAGTTACCTGGGGGGAAGAATGACTGCTCTTATTTTGTCACCCAGCTTGTATTTCTAGTACACATCTAATAACTGCTGACTTACTGTTATATTTATGTTGAATTTCATGTCTAAATGGAAACTATGTATTTTGTTGGGGAATCATAGAAGTAAAGTAATACTTGATAAAAGACTAAATTCTTAGGTTCACTTTTTTTTTTTTTTTTTTTACAAAATCTACTGATAATCATTTTGTGAGAATTTTTATTTTAATAAGGGATCCAGGCTATCGATTCGAACTCCTGTGCTTTGATGTCAGAGCTTGTGAAATCAATGGTGGACGTAAAGATGCAGAGGAAGGTAGAGAGGGCCCCTGTACAATGGGGCGGCCATGAGTAGCATTTGGAGGATAATCTCAAGGCTTATAGGTTTGGGGTATGTGTTAAAATCAAAGTTACCAACATTTTAGAAAATAAGTTTGTTTTTCTTTTCTATACTTTATATCCTTTATTTCTCCTACTTAAATGCCCTTATCATTTTGCTTAGTTGGCTGATTTTGAATTTCATCATTAAACCTGTTCTGTTGAGAGTGCTTGTCTGTGACTCTTTGCCTTAGTTTATTCCAGCTACCTCTGCTTTGGCAGCATCCAGCCCTCCTTATGTTCCTCAGAGAGCAATATTTCTGATTTAATTTTATCATCATATCTTATTTCAAACCCAGCATTTTCAGAATACTGTAACTTCAAAGTAATTAGGAAAACATAACATTGGCCCATGGCAGCTTTCCAATTTTTTAACTATGGAGAAGTAAATCCATAAGATTTTGGTGGATTTAACTGACCTGTGGATTTTATAGTTTGGGGAGAAGAAAGAAGGAATGGATTCTCATGTGTGATCTTTCAATATAAACTCTACAAGGACATGGATCTTTGTTTTTGTTAATTGATACATCCACACCCAGAACAGGGCCTGCTATATAGTGGGCGTGCAATTATTTGTCAAAAGAATGAATATGAATTTTAATAGCTATGTTTTATTCATTGAATTTCCAAAGATAAACTATAAATATAGTTTATTACTGCTTTATATGTTTTTAAATGTACAATCTTTTGACTTCTTATCCTTTCATCTTAATCCAGTGTAACTAAAATTGGATTCCTCACATTTATTCCATATATGAAAGACAGTTTACATTTCTTTGTAAAAATTGTCCCCAATGCCCCACTTAACAACCATTAGCATGTGCTTTCATTTTATAAAGTCAGGAACAAGCCCATAGTTTTTTGAGAGCTCAGAACAATTGATACTCAAGAAATTAGAGTTTGATGAGGTTTTTTATTTTTTCTTTTCCAAAGTCCCATAGCTAGATATCCTATAGTATCTTAGATGTATATTTGCATTTTCTGTAAAAAACTTCGTAAAAATAATGATTTTAGTAATTTTTTATTTCCTATATATTTTTTTATTGTGCCAATCAAATGTTTTTTTTTTCTCTTTCCAGCTCCAATTTTATGTAAAACAAAGGTTCCAGATCACAGAAGGTCATCACAAGCAAAAGTTATTAAAATGTTAGAAGTATGGTCTGATTTTCTTGCTGTTTTTATTTGATCTATCACTTATTCTGTATCCAGCAAATGGCCATAGCTACTGTCATTTATGGAGAAATGTTTTTAAGTATAAGGTTAATACATGAGCCACAGTGAATGATATCACTTATATATTCACTGCTGTGAGAGATTTTCAAGTTGCTCGTTTGTGATGAATGTAGGTAATTTTTCCTCCTGCCCAGTTATTGTCACTTACATGCATTGTACCACAGAACAAAGTGCCAGTGCCATTAAAAATACGGAACTCATTCATCATCTGGCTACCTGATTGCATTTATATTACAACAGGAACTCCTTTTTTGTACATACTAAAGATAAAATTTGGAAAATATGTTTTAAAATGTATTATGTACCTGAAGCTCTAACCTCTTAATAGTTTTATAGAACTTTTTTATTTTTGATACCATTATCCAATTGATAACATGATCCTAAGTGTTTGTATCAAATTATGTAACATGATGGCCTTCCAAGCTTTAGTATACCTTATTGTGGTTGATGTATTGTTGTGATGAAACAAGATATGTTTAAAAGTAAAAACATCTAGGTATAATTCCCTTTCCTAGTGATGAGTGATGAGGTGTTGCCACTCTGTTCCATTAGGGTGTTTTACATAGTTGTTTCAAACTCTGTCTTCCATGGAAAAAATCATAAGTTTGACTTGTCTTATTAAAGATATTTCTTAAGAAGATATCTGTGAGCATCTGAATATTAAAGATATAAAAATTTAGATAACTCATATATTAGGAGATATTTGAATTCAGTGCCTTTGTAGTATTCTTAGAACAATTGGATGCCTTCTAACTTTTTCTTAACAGTCATAGGTATATAATTTTTTCATTTTTTGTACTTGAATATCCTAAATAAAATTGACATTTACTCTTGACAAATAAAATATATCTACATATTTACTAAAATGTGATTAAATTACTTTAACTTTTCTTTTTGCAAACTTCCATCTTAAGCATTTTATCAAAATTAGTTCATTTAATCTTGTGTTTGAATTATTTTAAGACAGGTATATATTACCAATATTTTTCAGAAAACAAAATGTTTTACTTAGCCTATGTCAGATTCTGAGCATTGTATTTTTTTCATGAAGTTGTGTAAGTTGCAAATAAAACCTTCATTTTATAGCACAATTTATCTGAACAAATGCCTTAAATTCCAGTTTTGCATTTGAAATGCACAAATGTCTCTTAGCCTTTTAAACGTTAGTAAAGTAAGTTTAAGTATCACAGAAAAAGCTCTGAACTTTCTTCTCAGGATCAGTAATACCCAAGTTCTGGAAGGTGGGCGCAGGAGAGCCTGTGAGTCCATGAGGGCAGGTAGCCTGTCGTACAAAGCTCAACCACTGCTGCAGCCCTGAGCGTTGGATGAGGAGAGTGTCATCCAGGAAGCTCACTTATGTGATGTGAGTGCTGGTCATCTGCAGTTTTGTCATATCAAACTATGTATTAAACAGCTATCCTCAACTTTAATAAAGTACTTTTAAATGCCAGATTGGTTGTTGGCATGTTAAAACGAAGTTATTCAGTTTTCTAGTTGAAAAGATTATGGAAACCTGCCCCAGACTCTGAATTAGAGAACGGTAATCATTTTTTACTACTAGTGACTCTGCTTGTAAGAAAGACTCACCAAATGTGCTTCAACCCACAATGTGACTCTCTAATTCATGTGTTTGAGATTCATATAAGATTTTATTTTAGAAGAGTTGTCCTGCAAAGACAAAAGCTTTTAGAACAAATAGACTAGAATGTTCATGTTCTTTCACAAACCTGATTTATTATTCACTATCCAGGCACAGGGTTGCAAAGTGAGTTATGATCCACTGAAGCTTGAATTAAATTCCCTGGGAACAAAACAAAGCTAGACATGTTTTGTGTAAATTTTTTTCCATAAAGCATATGAAACAATTACTTCTCATTATCAACCATTAATCTTTACATACTTGTCTGATCTTTAAAGCTTTTTCACATAGACTATGATTTCAGCTTCAGAAAAACACAAAGGGGGAAAAATCATTACAGGGACTATTATCCCCTTTTTGAAGATGAACTCAGTTTAGGCCCCATTTTCCTATTGGGCTAGGAAATGGGTATGCACATGGTTAGGGCTAGCCACGCCCTCCTGGAGCAACGAGAACAGTAATAAGGCAAGACGACAAATTTTATGCATCAAGTAGTCTCAGAAGGGCATCTGTCTCACCCACAGAGCACAAAAAGCACTCAGGGAAGTGACTGGGTCTTGAAGGGTTGGAAGCAAGTTTTTAGATACATGAATGGAGAGTGGTAATCCAGGTACAAGGAATAGCATGTTTTTGAAAAAATCTGCACACTAGAAAATCGCTAACCATGAGTAGAGAGTATAGGGGAGGTGTGGAACATGGGTGAGGATGAAATTTTAGATTAGGGGACAGGTCAAGAAAGAGTTTATAAACCCAATCCCACAGGCAGTAGGAGCCATGGAAAGATTGGATCTCACATGGTCAGATACTCCTCAGAGTTGATGGAAAAGATATATTGGAGGAGCTGGAACTGGCCTGGGCAGGCTGACTCGGTAGAGAGTCTGCAGTCCAGGTGAGCAGTTTTTTTCTTTTTTAATTCAAGTTAGTTAACATACAGTGTTATCTTGGTTTCAGGAGTAGAACCCAGTGATTCATTTCTTAAATATGACACCCAGTGCTCATCCCAAAACTCTCCTCCTGAATGCCCAGCACCCATTTAACCCATCCTCCCACCCCACTCCCCTCCAACAACCCTTAGTTCTCTGTATTAAGAATCTCTTACGGTTTTCCTTCCTCTCTGTTTTTATTTTTCTTTCCCTTCCCCTGTGTTCATCTGTTGAGTTTCTCAAATTCCATGAGTGAAATAATAGATGTCTTTCTCCAACTGACTTATTTTTCATAGCATAGTACTGTCTAGTTCCATCCACATTGTTACAAATGGCAATATTTCATTCCTTTTCATCACCAAGTAGTATTCCATTGTACATATATATACCGCATCTTTGTCCATTTATCAGTCAATAGACATTTGGGCTCTTTCTATAATTTAGCTGTTGTTGATAATGCTGCTGTAAACATTGGGGTGCATGTGTCTCTTTGAATCAGCATTTTTCTGTCCTTTGGGCAAAAACTTAGTAGTGTAGTTGGGTAATTCTATTTTTAATTTTTTGAGCAACCTCCATTACTGAAAACAGGTGAGCAGTTCTTGTGCAATAGAATAGATAAGTAGTGTTTAAAAAAATACAGATGCAGAAAGGTATATATGGTAATGGAAATGGTAACCAAATGGATAAATCTAAATAAATAATGGCTACAAAACAATGATAATGTCTAAGAGAGTTGGAAATATACAGAAAACTAAACACAAGGCTAGAGTGGCATATAAATTAGGATGAGGGGGGAATAAATCAAGTCATCTAAGGTTCTTGCATTAACTGGGAGAAGGTAAGAGTCTCAGCCCAGTAACATGAGACTTAGTAAGAGTCCATGTAAACATGGTAAAGTGTGTAACTTTCAAGGTGGTAGAAGGAACACTAGTTTAATAAATGATAATCCAAAACAGAGCAAAGAAAATAAAACAGGTATGACAACCAGAAAGCATTTTGTAATATGGTAGATGTAGACCCAAATAAATACGTAATTACATGGATTTCATGCTATAATTTTTTTTAGACAAAAGTCTTTAAAAATCAGCTATAAACATTTTAAGAGAGGTCTGAAAATTTCTGTTTTCATAGAAAGAAGATAGGAAAAGGTACATCATTCAGACTCTAACCAAAAGCTAATATGTAGCTATATTTTATATATATTAAAAAAACTTTAAGGCACTTCAAATAAGAGATATGTAACACCTCCAAATTTGTATGTACATTACAGCTTCAATGAGCATACTTAAAGCAAAAATTGATGAGAATACATGGAGAAGTAGACAAATCCATACTCTTGGGAGATTTTCATATACCTTTTGTATATGATAGACCAAGCAGATCAGTATTATTACAGATATGGGAGCCTTGAACAAAACGTTCAACCACATTGGCCTGGTGAACAATTATAAAGCAGTGTACCCCAAATGACAGAACACATACTGCTTTTAGGCTCACTGGGAACATTTATGAAAACTGACCAGGACATTCAACTACAAAGTGAGCCTGAGTACCTTATGAAGGATTTACATCATGTAGTGTTCCCTGATCATCATATAATTAAAATAGAAATCAGTAATAACAAAAATTCCAGTATGTTTGGAAACTAAAACGCAAACTTGTAAGTAACCTATGGGTCTGAGAAGAAATAAAAAAGGAAATTAGAAAAATATTTTGAGCTGAAAGATAATGAAAACCTATAACATAACTTTTGAGAAGCAGCAAAAGTCATGCTTACAGTTAAAATTTATAATCCTAAATGCTAGTATTAAGAGCAAAAAAAAAAAAAAGGCTAAAATTTATAATCCTAAATGCTAGTATTAGGAGGGGAAAAAGGCTGAAAACCAATGCTGTACACGTTCATCTCAAGAAATTAGGAAAAGAATAGTAAATTAAATCCAAAGCAAAATAATAAAGATGAAAACAGGAATTAATGAAATAGAAAAAAATCCAAATTTCTTATATTTTTAAAAGATATATTAAAATTGAAAACCAAGGGGAAAATGACCCAGAAGAAAGGAAATAGGCTTGGAATGGCTAGAGTTGAAAACAACAATAAACCTGACATTACGAAAATAAAGGTAGGGGGTTGTGGAATGACTAGAGCACTGCATTGCTGGTGGGAATGCAAAATGGTTCAGTCGTTTCAGAAACTCTGCCAGCTTCCTGTTCCCTCACCGAATGTGTTAGTTTTCTACAGCTGCTATAACAAATTGCCACAAACTTATTGTCTTAAAAAACACTGTATTACAGTATTGGCTTAAAAAAAACTGTTACAGCCTTGGAGGCTGGAAGGCTGACATGGGGCTCAAAGGGCTAAAACCAAGGTGTGGCCAGAGCTCTGTTCCTTCTGAGGTCTCTAGGGGAGAATCCTCTGCCTTTTCCTGCTTCTAGAAGTTGCCCACACTCCTTGGCTCATGATTGCTTCCCCCGTCTTCAAAGTCAGCAGTGGTGAGTTGAATTCTCACGTGGCCTTGTCTGACCTTTTCGTCTTCCTCCCTCTTCTCCTTTCCGAGACACTGGTGATCACTTTATAATCCACTAGCAGCATTTCCCCATCTGCTGGCTAGCAACCTTAGTCTCCCTCTGCCATGCAACCTAACATTCAAAGGTTCTGGGGATTGAGATCTCGAGGAGGACATTGTTCTGCCTGCCATGCCATACAAGCCAGCAATTCCAGTCCTAAAATGTATTCAAGATACATGAAAGTATTTGTCCATACAAAGACCTGCAGTTTTTTCATAACCTGCCAAACTTGTAACGACTCAAATGTCCACCAACTGGTGAATGTATAGGTTGTAGTTCATCATGCAATGAAAAGGGGCACACTGATACATGTAGACACATGAATAAATCCAGAAGTATTATGCTAAGTCAAACCAGACACAAATGGCTGTAAGACTACATTTATGTGACATTTTTGTCAAAGCAAAACCATAGGGATAGAAATCAGCTGTGGTTGCCAGGCTTGCTGAGGGAGGAGGATTGACTTCAAAGGCACACAAGGAAATCTCTTAGAGTGGTAGAAATATTCCATATACCTCAGGAATAAGCCTGATTAAAAAAAAAAAAGTAAAAAAAACCCAAAAGCATTGGAAATGAAACAAGATGTCACTACAGACCCTGTTAGGCATTATATGGAAACCAACTTGACAATAAACTATTAAAAAAAAAACAAAAAAAAAAGTGGCATCTAAATTTGAAAATACAGAAGAAATGATAAATTCATTTTAAAAATAATTTACTGATAAAAAAATTAGTACGAAGTTTCATAGTCGATAATCCATAATTAAAATCCTCATTAAGTTTAGGCCTAGACAGCTTCACCCCAGAATTCTACTAGACTTTTAAAGAGAAAAGCTTTCTTTCACTATTCTCCTTGTGGTAGGTAGAACAGTGTTTCCCTCTCTCTACCCCCCACCCCCACCAGAGATGTCTGTACCCTAATGTCCTGAACCTGGGAATATGTAGCCTTAGCTGGCAAAAGAGACAATAGATGTAGCTAGGTTACAACCTTGATCTGGGGTGATGGTCCTAATGGGCCTAGTCAAATCACTTAGTTCCTTAGAGCTGAGGGCCTTTCCTGGCTGTAGTTGGAGAAAGATGTGTCACTCTTGGCTCTGATGACAGGGGAAGGAGCCACAGCCAAAGAGCATTGAGTGCCTGCAGAAGCTGGGAAAGGTAAGGAAACGGATTCTCCCCTAGAGCCTCCAGAAGGAACTCAGCTGTGCTTTGATTTTAATTTTTTTTTAATTCCTTGATTTTAGCCCCACATTAGACTTCTGACCGTTGCTGAAATTCCTGCCTCTCTTAGCTAGAAGTAACTTTTACCCACAAAGTCAAAGCAGC